GGCAAAGTGAAGTAGTGATGGTATACATTTGGGTAGAGTAGGGCTTGACTACTTTCATCTGGAATGAATTTATTGATTAGAGGTCCAGATAGTAAATATTTCCAGCTCTTTGAGCTAGAAAGTTTCTGTTGTGACCACCCAGCTCTGCTGATGTAACATTGTATTGAGAAGGATTCTTAGGTACTGGCTTCATTAGGAAACTGTAGAGGTATGTTGATCATAATAGTGGAAGGGTGAAGATACATTGAAGACTGCCACTGAAAAGAGTTTAGAAAGTGAACAGGTTGGATAGGACATACATAGAACTTCTTAATTTATAAGTAAAAGGTAAACAGTAACAGGGAAAATGAATTTAATAAAGGAAAGGCTTGATGAAGGGACAAGTAGTGATATCCATGTTTCTAGTAGTGCTTGAAACTATTTTAAATAATTCAAGAGCAGTATTTGATAGTCCATATAATGAAGCTTCCATTCAGCAATCATTTGTGGACCTTCTACTAAGGAGAACTGAGGATACCAAAATGATTAAGACAGTTCTTCACAGATTGGTGAGATTATACCTATTAATAGAAATACAAACAAACAAAAATTACTCGAGATGGCCTATAATCCCAGCAGCTTGGGAGGTTGAGACAGGACCATCACGAGTTCAAAGCCAGTCCAAATGGCAAGGTGCTAACCAACTCAGTGAGACCCTATCTCCAAAATACAAAATAAGGCTGGGGATGTGGCTCAGTGGTTGAGTGCTCCTAAATTCAATCCCCAGTTCCAAAAAAATACATAAATAAAAATTACTCCTTTTATTTTAGTTAATTTAAATGTAAATGGCCACAGGTGGCTTGTGGCTACAATACTTGACAACACAGCCTTAGAGTGTAGGGAACTGTGACATGATCTGTCCAGTTCCCTCCTGCCTGCTCCCTCTAAAATGAAGCATATGGCTTCTCTTGGTGTTACACTGGTGCCATTGAATGGATTATGCTGCTTTTTATTTGCTTTTCTCTCCCTRGTGATTGGTGTAGATAGTTCAAGGCCAGTGTGCATACAGGGACAATTAACTAAAATAAAAATTTAAAGCCAGTCTCTCAGTTACACTAACCCTGTTTCAAGTACTCAACAGCCGCAGGAGACTGGTAGCCCATCAGACTATAGGAATAGACCATTTCTATCCTGACAGTTCTTTGGGAAAGCACTGTCCTAATGGATATGGGCAAGCTGTCTGATGGCAGGAACTAAACTCAGCCTAAGTTTCTAGAATTGGACTTGAGGAAGAAAATCAGCTTGATAATCCAGCTAGGCCTAAGAAGGGAATTTAGGAGCTAAAATTGTGCAAAGATCACAATTTCATAGCCCTGTCAAGCACAGGCTTGTCCTGCCTATACTTGAAAGCTCCTGAGATAAAACATCTCATAACTCCTCCCCTCAAACAGCATCCTAGAGGAAAGAACCAGGAGACAGGCCCACTTCCTACCAACTTTACTATTTACTGGCTATGCTGTCTTTGGCGTAGCCTAACAGAAGTTAATAATTTTAACTAATTCATACATTGTATTAAATAAGATATGTGTAATAGTATTATACATGGTATATAGTATGTGCTCACTAAAATATTATCATTATCTTCTATAACTTTATTAATCCTAGTTCTATAATTCTTTCTTTCAACCAAGATTTATTGAGTCACGTGTTCCAGGAATTTGCCCTTGTGCAGCTTACAGTCAAGCAAAAGAAGCAGGTGTTTTTTTAAAAAAAATACACAAATACATGTAAAATCACACCTATGATAAATGCTACAAAGAAGGGATTCATGTGCTCTGAGAGTGTCATTAGGGAATTTGACCTGGTTGGGTAAGATTGCTGAAGGACAAGCAGAAATTAACAAGGCAGACTATAGGGGACATTGTTCCAGGTGGGGGGACAACATGCTACAAAGCCCATGTGGCCAGAAGGACTGGCCTTTGGGGGAAACTAAAAACTCAGTGGTACATGGGGAGGGACAGAAGAGTGCTGGGGAGGAGTACCGGGACCAATCTTGGCCAGGAAGATTTTGTTCTTTAAACCTTGATGGAGGGCTGTGGGTGTAGCTCAGTGGTAGAATATTTGTCTAGCATCTGCGGGGCCTTGGGTTTGATCCCCAGCACCACAAAATAATAATAATAATTTTAAAAATAAGGATGATAGAATAGACTTTGTGATTGCTGTATGTATATAGGTGACTCTATGACCAATGTGATTCTGCAATCTGTACAATCAGAAAAATGAGAAATTATACCCCAATTGATTCAAATGTATGAATTGCCAAGATCGCTGTAATATCATGTGTAGCTAATAAAAAAATTTTTTTTAAAAATTACTCCTTAATGAATGCTGTAACAATTATAGCAGTTATTATGGAGTGTTTACTATATGCCAGAATCTGTGCTCAGTGCTTTATATATGTATCTGTCTAGAAAAGCCTATAATGTGTACAAAAAATCACAGATGGTAGCAGAGCCAGGTTTAGATCTCAGCCTATTTAATTTTAAAACCTATACTCTTCACTATTACTGCCCAGCCTCCATAGAGTTGTATATAAGCTATAGGGGCTGCTAAAGTACAAAGGCATTCTCTTAGGACATACCAAGGAATATTTTAGAGGTGGTGATATCAGTTTTTGAAGGATGAATAGAATTTGTCAGGAAGACAGGGAAAAAGTGATGTAAGAGAAAAATGTATGATTCATCCATGCACCTGCAAGTCATGAGGTATGACTGAAGCACAAATTACAAAATGGACTGTAGTAAAAATAAGTTTTAGGGACTGGATAAGGGAGGGCCTGTATATCAAGCAAAAGAGTATATATTTCTTCTATTGATATGGTGTGGAAAAGTGATCAGATGGTTTTAAGTACAGGTGTTTCCCAATCAGATCTGTATCTTATAAAGTCCGTGTTGGCAATGTGAACTGGCTTCTCTTGGAGTCCATACAAAGTGAGAGCTGTGGGAATAGGGGGAGGGGATGAACTAGAGACTCAGTCAAGAATGGGAGAAGGGTGGCTGTGTATGGTGGTGCATGCCTTAATCCCACCCTGGGAGGCTGAAGCAGGAGGATCTCAAGATTGTGGCCAGCGTTGGCAACTTAGCAAGACCCTGTCTCAAAAAAAGAAAGGAAAAAAAGGGGGGGGGTGCTGGAAATGTAGCTCAGTGGTAGAGCACCCCTAGATTCAGTGTGTGTGTGTGTGTGTGTGTGTGTGTGTGTGTGTGTGTGTGTGTGTGTAAATGAGTAAATAAAAGATAGAGATATAAAGGAATACCAGTAAGAAAGCTGGGTTCTAGGATGATCCTGGAATTTTTGGACTTAAGGTCTTGGTAGATAAAGGTACTACGAAATTTGATAGGGAATATAGAAGGAAAAGGAGGTTGCAGGGAAATATAATTATACTGTAACTTGTGCCAGTAATTATTTCAAGTATTGTTGAGTCACCCAAGAGGTATTTGTCTATCTCTGTACTTAGAGATAGTCACCCATTGATGACTATCTTGTACTACCTTTTACTTTCATTCTCATGTTTTCTTTGTAGTTTAATAATTATTCATAATCAGAGAGCTTTTGTTTCAATGTAAAACCTAAATGATTTCAGCTAAGTTGCTTTGTGTTTATGTGATTCTTTTTGATAAGAGGATTTCCCCACCCCTTCTGTGGATCAGCATCTTACAGACCAAAAAATGATACCTTTTTCTGGTATAAAAAGTGAGCCAAGGACTGAGTCATAAAGCATGCCTAGATTATTTAGAAGGAGGAGGACAATAAATGTAACAGGGGACCAGGGTAATGTCTATGGGACCCAAATGGAGGAATGATTTCAAGGAAAGCTTTTTTATAAAACCCTACTGAATTATGGAAGACTAAGGAGATCAAGAAAAAAGAAGCCAGTGCATTTGTAGAAAGTCATGAGAATCTTTAATTTTTAAGATTTGTGGGTGCATGTGCAAACAGTTAGGAATGGTGGAGCCAATAAAATGGCCTTAACATACAAATTCAACTATATCTTCTCTATTTCAGGAAGAAAAGGACTGAGATAGTTAACTAGTTTGTACCTTTGTTCTCAGTAAACAATGTCCCAGTGTGAGTGGTAACTTGAGAAATATATATCTGTTCCTTCATTTAGGCTCATTTTCCATGTGCCTGTTACAGTGCATGTGTTATGAGCATCATGAAAATAAATATTGGATTTTTTTAATTTAAAATGTCCCCTAAGAGAATCCATCTATTTTATCTGATGTTCAACTAAAGGGACTGTCATCTGTCCAACACCATATTCTATTTTATAAGTTATTCAATGTATTGTAGAGTTTTAGACACAAAATAAAGAATTCCACACTTTGTGGGTGATTTAAGAGATTTTAAACATAATTTGAGCATGCATAGTTTTCACTTGTCTTTAGATCCTATTTTCTGGCCCATCTGCCTCTTAGTGAAGATATGCCTCCAGGATATATGGTAAGAGATGGAAGGAGTGTTAAGTTGCTGATGGAGAAAAGAATATGATCGAAGCCAAGTATGTGGCACACACCTGTAATCCCAGCAGCATGGGAGGCTGAGTCCATGAGTTCAAAGCCAGCCGCAGCAGTGGCGAAGAGCTAAGCAGCTCAGTGAGACCCTGTCTCTAAATAAAATACAAAATCGGGCTGGGGATATGGCTCAGTGGTTGAGTGCCCCTGAATTCAATTCCTGGTACCAAAAAAAAAAAAAAAAAAAAAATTGGGAAAGCAGCAAGGTCAAAGTTATTTGTATTTCATTTATTGAGAAATTTGTGGATAATTAGAAGATTTAAGATTTTAAGATGCTGGGGAGAAAGATTAATAAAGGGAAAAATAGTACTCAATATGGGTAAGTTTTTCTTACTGATAAAAGTAGCAGGCAGGTTTTTTTCTTCAGACTTTAGGTAAATGAAATAAGGCTGTTTTCTTTTTCTACTGTTCATTAAAACATTTTTTATATGTTTATTTGTCTGGTTACAGCTTCAGAACTAGCAAAAACAACAAGAAAATGTGTTTCATTCAGTTTGAAGAATGATCCTGAAGATACAATAAACATTCCTCAAAGTAGCAAGGGTAAGACTTCACCTCAGTTCTTTGAAGATAATTTTTATAGATGCTTCAAGTTAAGAGTATGTTACTTTTTTTCTTATCCAAGTGAATTTTCATCTGTTCGGAACATTCAGAAAAATGCAGTTAGTACTCCAGTGTGTCTTTATATACAAATATTTATTAGTCAATAAAAGCAGTTTTTCTGTCCTAACTAAACTAAAGTTGTACATATTGACAGCGTCAACTAAGAAAGGTCTTTATATCCTATGTCATTTCCTTGAGTTAGCTACCCAGTTGTTCATGGAAGACTTGGCTTTGACAATTATTAAGTATAATAAGGAGTTCAGAGTTCAGAAGTCATGATTTGTGGAGAATTGTGGAGAATCTTTTTTGAACAACCATTCAAACTAGGTTAAACAGGCTACTTTTTAATAATCAAACATTCAAAAGGCTCTATTTTTTTTTTGTTAGAATGCTATGCAAATGCAGGAGATAGCTGTTACTAATGGGAGTAGTCATGACATTACTAGTGATAATTTAACTTCTATTGGAATGGTAGTTAATTGAGATTCAATAGTATGTAGTGGCTTCTGTGTAAAAACTACAAATTTGCTTTAAACAAAACTAGACCATGATGAAAAGCTAAGTGTCTATAGTAAATCATGTTTTTTGTTTCATTTAGGGCATTCTGCTTCAGACAAAGTCCAGCTGAAGGTAAGCAGTTGACTAAAAACAAGCAAATAGGGGCTGGGGATGTGGCTCAAGCGGTAGCGCGCTCGCCTGGCATGCGTGCGGCCCGGGTTCAAACCTCAGCACCACATACAAACAAAGATGTTGTGTGTTGTGGGGGGGGGGGGATTCTCTCTGTCTCTCTTTAAAAAAAAAAAAAAAAACAAGCAAATAACTTACTGTTACTAATTAAGTCGTGAACTATAAGCATTTCATCTTTTATCTTAGTTTATATAGTGTGATTTATATGTATTTGACAGTTAAATACTGAGTTTTTAATTATATTTATTTATTTACTTATTTTGGGGGTGCTAAGGATTGAACTCAGGGACACTTGACCACTGAGCCACATCTCCAGCCCTGTTTTGTATTTAGTGACAGAGTCTCACTGAGTTGCTTAGTACGTACCTTGCTTTTACTGAGGATGGCTTTGAATTCATGACCTAAGCCTCCTAAGCTGCTRGGGTTGCAGGCATGCACCCTCATGCCTGGCTGTTATTTATTTGTGTGTGTGTGGTATTAGGGATCAAACCCAGCGGTTCACATTCTAGGCAAGCACTCTACCGTTGAGCTACATCCCCAACACAGTATTTAACTTGTAGATGAAGAGATTGATGTTAAAGTCTGAATGCATCTAACTCAGAATGGGTAAAGTTAGAAAATGAGCCTGGTCTTCTGAACTGTTCTCTTTCTGCTGTGTCAGAACTGTTCCTGGGTATTTTCAACTTAGAGCTGACCTGGGAATTTTATGTGTTTTTCCTTGGTTATTATATATAATTCTCTGATGTTACTTGGAGAGGTTGATCTCAAGATCCACTAAATCTATTAACCATAATTTAATTTACATTTGAAAACTAAGTTGGTTTAATTATATTCATTACAGGGTAACTAAAAAGAATTGACAGTTTTTATCTCCTACTTTATGTTTTGGTCGTTTTGTTTTTTCAGTATGGTCCTGCCTGGATTTGGGCAAACTCAGATGGTTATGAAGGAATATAGGACATTGAGTATATAAGTGGGAGTGTTTACAGGTCTTTCTATCTATAGGTTTATACGTGCCTGGGCTATGTACAGGCTTAGGTAGAGAATCCCTTAGATAAAAATTAAGTACAGACATTCAAGACCATGGTTATGGTCTTGCAGTAATGCTCTTCTATTTAGGCAAGTCTAGGTGTAGGATTGACTATGTTAGTCATGTCAGAGTCTCCTTTGTTTGTTTTTGTTTTTGTTTTTGAGATAGGGTCTCACTATACAACCCAGATTAGCCTTGAACTTGAGATCCTCCTGCCTCAGCCTCTTGAGTAGCTGGTATGACAGGTGTTAACCACTGTGCCTGGCTTTCCTTCAACTTTAATGATGCTTTTTTTTCCTTTGTTGTATCTTCTATGTTATATCACTGTATATATATTWWAAAAAAAAAGCTAGAAACCAAGCAAAAATTGAGATACATTAGAGCATTCTTTTTCAAGTTAATATATCACAGTACATTAGTAGATCTTGTCAATTCTCCCAAAAGACCATTAGAAAGCCCATCAATGAGTATTTGAGCATTCCCTACCACAATAAGAGACAGCACCATGAYGGAGTCCTGATAGCTGTCTTAAAAGGGGAAGTTTAAGAGAATTAAATATATCAAGCTTGAGGATTTGAGCTCAAGTGGTTTTAAGGCATGTCTTTCAAGATGAAGAACTGATTGGGATTGGGCAAAGTTGGGGACACCATATTTTAGGATTGATTGACATAGTAAAGAGAAGGTCTTGAAGTATGTCTTGACAATTGATCTTGTTTGATAAGAGGAACATGGTGTTTGCTATATGGAGTCATTTTTTGTCCTCATGGAGAATAGTTTGTCCTAATGAACAAACTGTAAAGATAGATTAGTCTGCAGAAATTCATGTAACAGAGAAGTTATAAATTAGTCTTATCTTTTTGGAAAGCATTTTCTAAAATAGTTATTTTAACATGAGTGTTCTAGTTCTCAGACTTGATAATTAAGCCATCTAGATGAAATTTTCTCATTTTCAATCTTGAAACCACTTTAGTAAGACATACTTATATTTAAAAAAATAAAATATAAAATTTCTATTTCATAAATATTATTTTGTCATAACTTTTCAATTATACACACATGTGTTGAGTCAAGATGGCAAAAGGTAAAAAAGAATTTTAATGATTTTGATCAAAACATTTGAAAYGTACTGCATTATACTTCATTAGCCCATTGGTAAATGATCAATGAGGTTATTGTGATTATTACAGTATTTTTCTTTTTGGCAGGACTGGCAATTGAACCCAGGGCCTCAGGAATGCTAGTCATACACTCTTACCATTGATGTAATACTTAAACATTAGTAAATTTCTAGTGCATTAAAAGATCCATTGCCATATGTACATAACATATACTATTTCCTTTCATGGTCATCAACACTACATATTATTGCCTTTTTAAAACTATATCCTGCTAACCTTATACATATGGTTCAAAAACTTATGTTTTTTCTTTATATARTAAGAAAAGTACATGCATTGTTTACAAATGTCTGGAATTCATTTTCTAGAAATTAGTAGTCCTTTGGAATTTTTTATATTGCTTTCGATATACTCTTTGTTTTTTCTTTCAACAAAATCATTTTTCATTATCATCTAGTTGTAATATAGTCTATTGAAAACATAATGTTTTTTCCTAGCATTTCCCCCTCTAATCAGTCATTAACTTCCATTTTATTAACCATCATGCTTTTTTATTTTTAAACAGAACAATGACCAAAATGAATTTCTGTCAACACCACCTCGTAGTCTAAGAAAAAGATTAATAGGTATGTTTTAACTTTTACATGAAGTTTTTATAAAAAATAAGTAAGGGTCAATAATGGTTAAGTATAAAGGTTGTAGACTTTGCTTGGGGTTTTAATCTTTGGCTCATCAGTGCCAAAAAATATCTGTGACTTGATATTTTCATTTCTAAAATAGACATGATAAGAATTAATTGAAATAGACATACTCATTGTATTTGACCTTGGTACAAGCTTACCAAGTGTTAGCTATTACTTTTTATTATTGCTGTTTCTTTTCATGAAAGAAGAATACGCTCATGTTTTCAAACTGGAGATTCCTTAAGGTCAAAAACTAGCGGACTGTATCTAATCTTAGTACTATACCTTCCACATTATGGTCAGTGAACATTGAAGTCCATTAAAGTAATATGTCTTTGAGTTTGTTTTGAGACAGTCTGGAAGTGGTTCTGTTGATTTATGGAGAAGTTTTATAATGAAATAACCTTAAATATTCATACTTGTACCAAATGCTATTGAAAGCTAAATAAGTATAGAACTATTTTAAAGGTTAATTCTGAATATTAATGAAATAAGTTTATTCAGAAGTTAAAAATGGTTTTAGATGTTGAAATATTTGGCTTTGGGACAAATGGCTGTTGGCCTTTATGTCTCTGAAAGATGTTAACCTCTTGACAATAGTTACATTGGCTAACACTATCAGATCTAGTCAAAACTCATGGCTTCATGTTTAGTCTTTCCCTTTCAAGGTATGGATTTCATRGAACTATTAATACTACATTTATAGTCAGTCTAAAAATGGCAATGCTAAATGATTGTCTATCTGAAGTAGTAAAAGGTAATATATGCATTGTATTATGTCATGTCAAATACATTCCATGTCCTATATTTTCTCCTTACCCCAAAGAAGAATCCTCTTTTTAGACAGAAAGTAAACTTTTCCTTCTCAGCCATCACCACTCATATATTCCTACATGTAATAAAACAGATGTTTTCTGGCACCTCTGTCACTTCTAACTTAGGCATGTGTCATGAGCAACAGTCAGTACAAATCTGAATCTATTAAACTATTTATGCCTGAAAAATAGGTCTTTTTTCCCCTTTTTCTTTTTAATGTGTCTATTTATGATATGCTTATTCTGGACAATCTTCTGGGGTAGATCTGTTGTTCAAAATAAACATACTGTTTTGCTTAAAGTTATTTTCTCACCCGATGCAGTGGCACATACCTGCAATCCCAATGACTTGGGGGTCTGAGGTAGGAGGATTGTGAAGTTAGAYAGAGGCCAGCCTCTGCAACTTAGTGAGAATCTGTCTCAAAAATAAAAAATACAAAAGACTGGGGATGTAGCTCAGTGGCAGGTTACCTCTGGGTTAAAAAAAAAAAATTATTTGTATAAAAATTTTATTTATATTTATTAAATTCTTGAATCAGTTCTGGGATGCAATGATGTATGGATCAGTGGTGATAACAGTAGTTGTCATTTATTGCGTGCTAGCTATATCAGGATGGTATTTTTAGTGGGAAGCAACAGAAAATTCTGCAGTACTGGTATAAGCTATAGACATTTAAAAATCTTAGTAGCATATGAGGTCTAGAGGTATAATTAGGTCTACAGTGTCATTAATGGCCCAGGTTGTTCTTATATATTTACTCTGCCATCAGCATTTTTTGTGTTTTGGTTTGATACTTTAACTGATGAATAGCTTCTATAATTTTAAGTTATGGGTGTAAATAGGGGCTTTTCTTCCACAAATGAGGAATATCTTTTCCTGAAGCTTCCAGCAGTTTTTTCCTCAAGTCTCACTGGTCAAAGGGTTATGTAGCCAACCCTAGATGCAAGGGAAGCTGGGAAAGCAAGTATTTAGCAGAGGGAAAAGATGATTACCAGGATTCATCTCCTCGATTAGAACACATTACTACATTTTATGAAAATGGAGTTCTTTTAGCAAGGAAGAAGAAAGGTATTAGGTATGGTTCACAGTTTTACCAGTTCCTATATGTTGGGCATTATTAGTTGCTTTAGATCTTTTCAACATGATCTTCTCAATAGTTTATTAAAATAGATACTACTAGCTGAATCTGGTAAATGAGGAAGCTGGTACTCAGAGAATTTATGTAACTAACTTTGATGAAATAATGAGCAAGTAATGACAAAACAAGAATTCAAAGTCTCTTACTCAAAAGCCTATACTCTTTTCATTAACCTACAATGACTCTATTGTTTAAACTTTCCCAATTACTCTTTCCCCCCATAGTGCCAAGGTCTCATTCTGACAGTGAAAGTGAATATTCTGCTTCCAACTCAGAGGATGATGAAGGGGTTGCACAAGAGTATGAAGAGACCACTAATGCAGTCACATTCAGCCAAAAGATTGAAGCTCAGAATACAGTAGTTTCGGCTTCTGTTTGCAAAGGAACACCTTCTAAGAAAATGAAAAGAGATAAAAGAGTAAGTGAAGAGAGACTTTAGCCTTAAGGAAAAATTAAATATAATCCTTCAAAGGCAACTCCCCTAACAGAAAAGATCCATAGGAGAGGGGCGGGGTCAACAGTTCTATTCTTCACTTTTCTATATATTTTCTCAACCTTACATGTAAATTCCTACATGTATTTGTTTCTATTTTTGAGCTTTCTCTTCTGGACTCTTTGAACCATTACTACACTATAGGCAGAAGGTGATTGCTCAATTCATTTGTATAACAATGAACTTATAGGAGCTGGGGATATAGTTCAGTTGGTAGAGTGCTTGCCTCTCATGCACAAGGCACTGGATTCGATCTCCAGCGCCATTAAAAAAAAATTTATATAATCTCGCTTTTGTAACCATTGTTGATGTGTTGAAGTCTGTGTAAATGATAGTTATATGGCTGGGCACTGTGGCATCTGCCTATAATCCCAACTACTTTGGAGGCTGAAACAAGAGGATCACAATTTTAAAGCCAGCTTGGGCAATCTAGTGAGATCTTGTCTGAAAATTAAATATGTATATATACACACACATAATACACAATATATACATATTTTATACATATATATTTTATATACACACAAACAAATAAAGAATTTTATTGATGATGCACACCTATAGTTCTAGCTAATTGGAAGGCTGACACAGGATGATTACTTGAGCCCACAAGCTTAAAACAGCTGGGGGATACAGTAAGACCTTGTCTCAAAAAAGAAAAAAAAAAAATTATTTCACGTGTCCTAGTCCTATTTTAGACTAATCAAACTGTTAGTTTTGGGACTGGGGTTGTAACCCAGTGGTAGAGCTCTTGCCTAGCATGTGTGAGGCAATGGACTCAATCCTCAGCATCACAAAACAAATAAATAAATGAAGGTGTTGTGTCCATCTAAAAAAACGGGGGGAGAGGGGGAGAGGGGGAGCTGGAGATATAGCTCAGTTGATAGAATGCTTGCCTTGCATGCACAAAGCCCTGAATTCAATCCCCAACACCATAAAAAAAAAATTAAAGTTAGTTTTGGGGGTTGGGGTTGTGGTTCAGTATAGAGCATGCATGAGGCACTGGGTTCAATCCTGACACCACATAAAAATAAAAAAGGTATGTGTCCATCTACAACTAAAAAAAATACTTAAAAAAAAAGTTAGTTTTGGTAGAATGCAAATGTCTAAGACTATTTAGAACTGACTTTACTCTGTCCAATTTCAGAATGACTTAGTAGAAGAATATTTTGAAGCTCACAGCAGTTCAAAAGTTTTAACCTCTGATAGAACACTGCAGAAGTTAAAGAAAGCAAAACTGGACCAGGTATGTTGTAAAGTATGTTAGTCCCAAATTTTTCTTAATATGACCTGAAAATTTTACTACATTAGTTGATAAATTTGAAGTGTACACAAGCAAAATTATTGTCCTGATAAAATAAAACACAAAAGTAATGTGTTGTAATTATTACATATTTATCATATAAACAGTAAGTAATTCACTGGTTTAGAATTCTGTTTGACACAACGTAAGCATACTTTTTTTGTCATTTTTCTTTTCTTATGGATTTATAATAAACATCATCCTTGATATCCATGTACCATTAGACTCTGATATTTATTTAACTCTCATGTTCATTAAACTTCACACTGGTCATAAAACAGACTTTGACCTGACTTTTTCTCATTTACAAACCTGGCAAAACTCATCAAATGCTTGATGATGTTATAGAAAACTTTCCCAGTGCAGTAAGGTAACAGGTTGTTGTATAGCTCATTTTTCAAAAAATACCATATAGCATACTTGTAGAATTTTTGGCTGATACCTCCCCAAAGAGGAGAAAATTTTTTACTAGAAAGAGGGCTGATAGATTCTAAGTCTTCTTGACTTACACAGGTTTAGTCCCTTGTCCAAAATGTTTTGGACAAAGTGTTTCTGATTTTGATATTTTGGGATTTCAAAATGTTTGTATAATACATGAGATATCTTGGTGGTAAGACCCAACTCTTAACCCCCAAATTTATTGTTGTTTCTTATACACACATAGCCTGAATATAATTTTATACAATATTTTAAAGAACTCTTGTTTTGACCATGACCTTTCACATAGCGTCAGTACTCAAAAGGTTTCGGATTTTGGAAATTTTCATTTCTGGATTAGGGATACAAGACCTATACTCTGCAAATTAGGATTTAATGAATTTTCTAAGGTGCATGGAGCGTCTGACAGAGTGTTTGAGACATAGAAAAAAGATAAGGGAATAGCCTGAATAACCTGGTGCTGTGCAGTTTGGGGGATTTTTAGATTTTTATCACCTGGCTGATTAGAGACTAGATAAAAAATAAATGTCAAGGGGCTGGGATCGTGGCTCAGTGGTAGAGTGCTCATCTAGCACATGTGAGGGCTTGGGTTCTATCCTAAGCACCACATAAAAGTAAATAAACAAAATAAAGGTATTGTGTCCAACTACTTCTAAAAAAAAAAAWWMYTWAAAAAWWAAAAWTWAAWKG